TTCTTCAACCCTTCTACCCCAAAGGATAACTTAGCGATCTGTCTGCAGAAATGCCCGGTTCTGTGTTTAACAACCAGGTTGGTAATCAGCCAGCTCCGCTACATTCTACCGGGATCTCTAATCCCAATCTCCCAGACGACGAGGCCCCCTTCGACGCCTCTCCAAGATCTACTACTTCTACTAACGACGCCAACCGTCACTCAACTCGGCTGGCCAACCTCCCTGCAGCCCCTGGGCTCGACTTCCCTACAAGCAGAGCTACCAAGGGCAAAGATTCTAATTCAAGCTCCTGCTCGAAGATTCCAAGACCCCCGACCCCTAGGGAACTTGCACTCCCCAAGGGAACTGATGTACAACTTCGAGCTGAAATCGACGCCCTCCACGGCGACATCCAAGCTACTGTCGACCGATTCGCGTCGGTTGACGAAAGATTCGACTACATCGAGCACGAGATCGGTACTTTGACTACTACAGTCAACTCCCTTTCGTCGGATGTCACCCTCATGATCGACAAGCTTAACGACGTTCTCGACAAGAAGCCAGACTCGACTTTGTGTCCCCCCTCTACTGTGGTAGTCCCTCCGCCTTCAGAGAAATCCCGCCTCGAGCTACCCAAGGAAGCCATTGATGCCCTATTCTTTCGTGGCCAAAGCTTCCAGAACAAGGTGGATAAGTGCTGTGCAGCATGCAACAATGCTCCTACGGTTGAAGGTGGTCGATTCATTGGTAATGATGATCCGAGATCCTTCGCTGAATTCTCTCAACTGGTTCGCCAACATAATATGTACCTCTACGGTGATGCGGTTACCCGATACTTCTTCCTACTACATAACCTCTCTCCGAGTGTTCACAACTCCACAGTGTTCGGCCTGCAATATGGTGATGCGCAAGACACGCCTCAATGCACCAGTGTGAACGACTTCCAAAGGCTACTCGACAAGGTGTGGAACCATCTCATGGATGAGTTTGCTAAATCATCCCGGTCTATTCGATCACTACAAGGCACTACAACTTCTTAAACTCTCTCCCGGTGCTGACTTTGACGGCCATCTCAGTCGGTTCACTACCCTTATTC